GTAGATCAGGGCATGGTGGTACGCACCTTTAATCCCAACACTCAGGAGGCAGAAGCAGGCAGATCTCTGTGAGTTCGAGGCCAGCCTGGTCTACATAGTGAGTTCCAGGCTAGCTGGGACTGTAGGGAGCCCCGTCTCAAAAAACAAAACAAAACAACAAACAAATAAACAAACAAAAAGGTGGAGAGCAATTTAGGAAGACATCTGACATTGACCTTCGGCCTCTATGGGTATGTACAACTGTACACACATGTGCACTAGCACACACACACACACACACACACAAAATCTCTTTTGTCATCACAGATGGCCAATGAAGCATTTAGTGGTAAAATTACTTTATATATGTGTTATGTATACATTTCAATTATTTTATTGCATTTATTAATGTATTTATGTGTGGGGTGCATGTGTGTGTGCCATGGCACACATGTGGAGGTCAGAGGATAACCTGCAGAAGCTGGTTCTCTCCTTCCACCATGTATGTGATTTGGGGATTGAACTCAGGTCATCAGACACTTGGTGTTAAGCTCCTTTACTAGTCGAACCATCTTACCAGCCCTCCTGTAGTTTTCCAATTTTAGTTTAATTCAGTTTTTTTACTTTTTTATTTTATGTGTACAAGTGTTTTACCTACATGTATATAAGTGCACTGAATGTGTGCCATACCCAGGGAGGCCAGAAGAGGGTGTTGGATCCCCTGTAACTGAAGTTACAGATGGTTGTGAGTTGCCGTGTGGATGCTGGGAACTGAATCCAGGTCCTCTGCAAAAGCAGCCAATGTTCTTGACTGCTAAGCCATCTCTCCAGCCCTATTTATTTACTTATTTATTTATTTTGTTGTTATCTTGAGCCTTTAATGGCCAAGCTATCCCTCCAGCCCCCATTTAAAAAAAATGTATTATTTTTATTTTATGTTATGAGTGGATTACTTTTATATGTGTGTAAGTGCCCCTGTGTCATGCAATGCCCAAGGAGGTCAGAAGGAGGTGTTGAATACCTTGGAACTGAACTTACAGACAGTTGTTAACTGCTATGTCGGTGCTGGGAATCAAACCTGGGTCCTCTGCAAGAGCAGTCAGTGCTCTTAACCACTGAGCCATCACTCCAGCCCCAAGCTGCCATTTTTTAATGGCAGGGTCTCATGTAGCTCAAGTTGGCCTTGGACTTAATATGTAGCTGACAATAGCCCTAAGCTTCTGATCCCCCTGCTTCCATTTCCCAAGTGTTGAGATTACGGGCATGCACCACCACACCCTGTTTTAATTAATTTATTTATTAATTTAAATTATTCTGATTTTTGAGACAGGGTCTTATTTGATGGACCAGGCTAGCCTGAAACTATGTAGCCCAGGCTAGCTGCAAACTCACAGCAATCCTCCTGCCTCGGCCTTTTGAATACTATGATTACAGGATTTCTTTTTCACTTTATAACTTTATTTCATAAGCCAGGGATGGTGGTGCGCATCTCCACACTGCATAAACCTGGTGTAGTGACACATGCCAGTGCTCAGGAGGTTGAGGCGGAAGGAATGCCAAAAAATTGAGGTCAATCTGGACAGCATATTAGTTCCTGGCCAGCCAGTACTGCATAGTAAGACCCTGCCTCAAGAGACAACAAAGGGCTGAAGAGATTAAGAGTACCTGTTGCTCTTGCAGAGGACTAGAGTTTGGTTCCTAGCACCCATGTTGGGTGGCTCACAACTGCTCAGCTCCAATGGATATGACACTTTCTACAGGAACCTGTACCACACACACACATAAATAAATAAATAAATTATTTAAAACAAGCAAACAGAAACACCAAAGACTTTTTTTTTTTTTTTTTGAGACAGGGTCTCCCTGTATCCCCAGCTGTTCTGGAACTCACTATGTAGACCAGGCTGGCCTCAAACTCACAGAGATCCGCCTGCCTCTGCCTCCTGAGTGCTAGGATTAAAGGCATGCACCACCATGCCTGGATTTAAAGACCATTTTATTTATTATTCTTTTTTTTTTTGAGCTGAGGACCGAACCCAGGGCCTTGCGTTTGCTAGGCAAGCGCTCTACCACTGAGCTAAATCTCCAGCCTTTAAAGACCATTTTAAAGATGTGTGTGCATGTGTGTTTGTGTGCATGTGTGTCTGTGTGGGAGTGTGCATGTGTATGTCAATGCCCCAGGAGGCACTAGATCTCCTGGAGCTGGAGTAACAAGTTATATATAATTTTTTTTAAAGGAGAAGCGGGGCTGGTGAGATGGGTTAATGGGTAAAAGGGAGTTCTTCAACGCCCAGAGTGAAAGAGGGAACCAGTTCCCAAAAGTTGTCCTGTGACTCCCACACGAGTGTTGTGGCACAAACACACCCATGCTCACACACACATAATAATAAATAAAAGAAACTTAGAGTAAGGGCTGGAGAGATGGCTCAGCAGTTAAGAACACTGGCTGTTCTTGCAGAAGACCCGGGTTTGAATCCCAGCACCCACATGGCAGCTAACAACTGTTTGGTAACTCCAGTTCCAGGGGATCTGACAGCCTCTTCTGTCCTCTACAGGCATTGCACGGCACAGGTGCACATGCAGGCGATACACGTATACACATAAAAGTAAAAAAAAAAAAAAAAAAAAGAAAGAAAGAAAAGAAACTTAGAGTGAGATAGACAGCACTGGCCATCGTGCGTACCTTTAATCTGAGCACTGAGGAGGTAGAGGCCAGTGGACCTCCGTGAGTCTGAGGCCACCCTGGGTTACTTAGTAAGCTCCAGGATAGCCAAGGCTGCATAGTGTGATCCTGGGGCTGGAGAGACGGCTCAAAGGTTAAGAGTACTTAGCCGCTCTTGGAGAGGACCCAGGTTCAGTTTCCAGCACCCACATGGCAGCTTACAACCATCCATAACTCTAGTTCTAGGGGATTCGTCCCCTTCTTCTGGCCTTCACAGGCATTGCACACACAGGTGCACTTATATACACACAGGCCATGTACGTATGTATACATAACATACATGAAATAAATAGATAAATAAAACAGAGACAAAGAGAGACAGAGAGGGGACAACCTAACCTATGAGATCACCCAGCATCATCCCCATCTTTTCATAGTAGACTGGAGCAGAGAAGTTTGCAGAGGATACACAATGTGAAGTAACTAGAGCCCAGTCATGTGGCCCAGCTTGGACTGTGCTGTCATGTGATTGATATTATCAGCTACACAGTGCCTGTCACAGTCTTGCCCAGCAGGGCCTCGCTCAGCTGGGCCTTGCAGAGAGGCTGGGTAGGGAGCGAGAGGCTCTCAGGCTAAGGCAGTGACAGATCCTCGGGGTGCCACTCTGTCCCCATGCCTGCCTCAAGGTGGAAAGGCACTTTGGGGCTGGTTCACCTGGCTCTGTGTGGACAGAAAGTAGCTAGACTGAGGGCATCCCTGTGGCCTCCTCCTCTTCACAGGACAACCACACCTCGAATCGGGGACGTGATCCAGAAACTGGCCCCGTTCCTGAAAATGTACAGTGAATATGTGAAGAACTTTGAGCGGGCGGCCGAGCTGCTGGCCACCTGGATGGACAAGTCTCAGCCCTTCCAGGAGGTGGTCAGCCGCATCCAGGTGAGGGGTACAAGGGGCAGAGGCCAAGTGGCCACCCCAAGGGCCTGCCTCAGTTTCCCCCAAGTGGTTTGGGCATCCCCCAGGGATCTGCTGCTTCCTGGGCCCTGGGGCTCCAACCTCCCACCTCCCCTCCTCACCCTCCCGCTGCTGTGCCCCACTGCCCCCCAAGCGCAGCAAGGCCTCGGGCAGCCTGACCCTGCAACACCACATGTTGGAACCAGTGCAGAGAATTCCACGCTATGAGCTGCTGCTTAAGGAATACGTGCAAAAGCTGCCAGCCCAGTCCCAAGACCTCGAGGATGCCCAGAGTGAGGATGCCCCCAGGGCCTGGGAGGCTGGGGAGGGCCAGCCCTTGCCACATGCTTACCGAGCACCTGCTAAAATGGCTCTGATGACCATCGGCCGTTCCATCAATCACTGGACTTCATAGACATTATTCACATGGTAACCTTGGTTGTCAGACAGGACACTAAGAACCAGAGAGGTTAAGTATCTCACTCAGGGTCACACAGCCCTGAAAGGAGCAGAGCTAGGATTTGAACCTATGCCTGTAGGGTGCATCCTCTGGAACTGGCTTTGCTCAAGATGCAGAGAGAGTGGCCAAAGACCTATACCTAATCGTACTGCTTCCCAGTGGCCTCCACTGGTCCCACCCTGGGTGGCTTACACCATTCAGATATCCCCTATGCTGGGCTGAGGGCAGTTGTGGCAGGTCCTCAGGCTATGCTGGGAAGCCTCAGCCCTGGGCGGCAGATCTCGGAGGTAACTGGGGTCCCGCCTCCCTATCAGGAGCCCTGGACATGATCTTTTCAGCAGCCCAGCACTCCAACGCAGCCATTGCTGAGATGGTGAGCCGTTCAGCCTCGGGGTGGGTGTTGGGGATATTCCCTGACATGCACTGATCTCTGGGTCCATGTACCACTGATTTTGCCCAGGGTACCTGCCCCATGCTACCTCTATGCCCCTGGCTCTCTCCTTGTCCCCACTCCCACCAGACATGCTATCAGAAAGCTGGGGTCCTGTCCAGTCTCTGCTGAGAGTATGCATGTCTCCAGGAGCGGCTGCAGGGCCTGTGGGAGGTATACCAGCGCCTGGGCCTGGAGGATGACATTGTGGATCCCTCTAACACCCTTCTCCGAGAGGGCCCTGTTCTCAAGATCTCTTTCCGACGCAGCGACCCCATGGAACGCTACCTTTTCTTGGTAGGGGCTGCTGGGTCTGCCAGATGGGTGAGCCCTGGGAGGCAGAAGTCAGTATGAGCTCTGGATGGCTTTAAAGTCTGTACCGTTCACATGTTCTCTAGAGACAGTACTGCAGGAGGTAATTAAGTTAGCAACCAGGAGGGCTGGAGAGATGGCTCAGTGGTTAAGAGAACTGGCTGCTAGTCCCGTGTGGTGGTGCATGCCTTTAATCCCAGCACTTGGGAAGCAGAGGCACATAGATATCTGTGAGTTTGAGGCCAGCCTGGTCTACATAGTGAGCTCCGGGCCAACTGGGACTACAGCAAGACTCCATCTCAAAAAGACCCCCCCCAAAAAAAGAGCACTGGCTGCTCTGTCAAGGACCTAGGTTCAGTTCCTAGCACCCATGTGGCAGCTAACAACCTTTAGTAACTCCAGTTCCAAGGAACCTAATGCCCTCTTCTGGCCTCTGTGGGTATTGCATGACATGACACAGGTGCACTTACATACATGCAGGCAAAACACTCATACACATAAAATAAAAATAAATTAAAAAAAATTTTAAAGTTAGTTACCAGGAAGAACTGTCAGGATCCCGTGATATCTGGCAATATTCCTACCTGAGGTTCCATATACAGACCTTGTTAGAATGACCTCTCAGGCTCCTGGAGCCTGCTTTAATTCCCCTGAAGCCCACAGCAGGGGGACCCTTCTGAGTTCATCAGTGAAGCTGGGGGCTACACAATGCTTTCTCCTTCCTGCTCACCTGTGCTGAACTGTGGACTAGTCCAGAGTGTGATCAGAGGGAGGGGAGGGGATGGGTGGGGGTCAGGAGCCACTGGACCTCTGTTGCCCACACACTCCCTGTCTCCTCAGTTCAACAATATGCTGCTGTACTGTGTCCCCCGTGTCCTTCAAGTGGGTGCCCAATTCCAGGTGCGGACACGCATCGATGTGGCTGGCATGAAGGTGAGTAGTTCCCAGCCCCACTTCGTTCCCTGGGCCCAGGGTGGGTGACAGCAGGGGGCAGATGGGAAATGTGGATAGGACGGAGTGAGCTGGTAGGTCCAGGTGGGTCTGACAGCGCAGTGTGTGTGTGTGTGTGTGTGTGTGTGTGTGTGTGTGTGTGTTGCTGGGGATGGAACTCATAGCCTAGGGCAGTTGGCAAGCACTCTGTGAATGAACCTTGCATCTCTAGCCAACTCCTAGGGGACCATTCTGAGGCTCCTGTCCACACTACAATATAAGAACAGTAAGACTGACCAGCCACTGGCTCAGTGCATCCCCATCCAGGGATGAGCTTAAATGAGAAGGGCCAGCAGCCCATCCGACTCGGTGGCCCTGCAGCCTCCCAGGAGATCCTCTCCATGGCTGTCTGGTGTAGAGTATTATCCCTGGATTGGATTGCTTTTTATCTTTTAAAAACAATTCTAGGACTGGAGATGGAGCTCAGTTGGTACAGCGCTTGTCTAGCATGCACCAAGCCCTGGTTCCATACAGAGCATCCAAGGTCACCAAATGTGGTGACCTTGCCTGGAATCCCAGTCCTCAACACTTTGCGGGTCAAATGACAGACCCCAGCTGGAGCACCCAGGCCAGAGGCAAGAACTTAGTTGTGCTGTGTCTGGCACCCAGGATCTAGCCCCGTGCCCCCAAAGGCCTCCAAAATGGTAGGCACTAGCTGAGGGTTTGAAACCCCTAACGCCTAACCTCCATTCTGAGATGGCCAGAGGGACCCAAAGGCCGGGCTATGGGTGGGTGTGTCTCCAAGGGGCCCTTGGTAAGCAAGACTGAGGGAGGAGGACAGAGATACAGGTGAGAGATAAACATAGCAGGTGCAACCTCAGCAAAGAGAGAAGGACAGAGGTCCACCTGTAGAGAAGGCAAAATATACAGGGACCAGGGCTGAACATGGGATGCATGCCTTTAATTCCAGCCCTAGGGACATAGAAAGTTCCAGGCCAGCCAGGGCTACATAATAAGTGATAAGACTGTCTTAAAAGTAAAACAAAACAACAAAATGAAACAAAACAAAAGATTCAGGGATCAAAAGAGTTACACAGCCTGGCACTGTGGCTCACACCTGTAATCCCAGCACTCGGGAAACTTGAGATAGGATTGTTGCAATTCAAAGACAGGATGGGCTATTTAGAGTTCCAGGCTAGCTTAAGAAACAGAGACTGTCTCAAAAAACCAAAACAAAACAAAACCCCCCCAAAAACATTCTCCAGCACCCAATAAACCAGGTGTTGCACACCTATAATCTCAGCACTCTGAAGGTGGGGATAGCAGAATCAGAAGTTCAAGGCCATCCTCTACTACATAGTGAGCTTCATGCCAGCCTGGGCTACTTGAGACCCTGTCTCAGAAAAAGAAAGGAGCTGGGTGTGGTGGTGCATATCTCCAGCATTTGGGAGGCAGAGGCAGGCAGATCTCTGTGAGTTGCAAGCCACCTAGTCTACATAGTGAGACCCTGTCTCAAAAAAAGAAATCAAGGGACTGGAGAGACGGCTCAGTGGTTAAGAGGACCCAGGTTCCATTCCCAGCACCCACATGACAGCTAACAATTGTCTTTAATTCCAGTTCCAGAGGAATCCAATGACCTCTTTTGACCTCAACGGGCATTGGGAGACATGGGTGCACTTATACACATGCAGGCAATACACTCATACACATAAAATAAAAAATTAAATATTAAATATTAAAAAAGTGAAAGAAAGGAATGAGAGAGAGAGAGAGAGAGAGAGAGAGAGAGAGAGAGAGAGAGAGAGAGAATCAGATGTTAAGTGTGCTTAATCGCTGCGCCTGCCATCGGATGAGCCTGACTCACTAGTGGTTGATTGGCGCCCTCTTCTGGATATTATGGGCATAGCAGACGCAGAGCTGTGCTCTTGCCTTCTATCTGTGGGACCCCGTTTTCTGAGAGGTTTGAAGGACAGTCTGACTTGGGCCACCCTTGTGGTTCTGCTGGCCTGGGACCTCCTGCTTTCCCCCGTCTTGGCTGTAAAGGCACCTAGTTCTCACGAGGTGATTGTGCCCACGGTCTGAGCTGTTTTTCATGTTTTGCCAACCCGCAAAGAAGGACAGGTTGTGCCCTCCACAAGAACACCTCATCTGAGAGGTGCCGTCTGCAGTCACCTGTGATACAGTATCATAGATTGTGTATTTATAGCGAGAATTGTTCTGAAGACGGCAGTCAAATGTCTTATCCCAGCAAAATCTGGATGCTGTGCTGTTTGGGCCAACAGATGACAGGAAAGCCTTTTGAGTCTTTGGTGATGAGCACAAAGGACTGCGTGGGCCAGCAGGGCTCTGAGCTGCCCCAGTCCTGGGGACGATGGCTGAGCCGGCCCAGCAGGGCTCCAGAAACTCTTCTCTGAGCCCTCATGGGGGCTTCTTGACTCTCATGTCGGGGTGAGAGTCCACGACTCTGTGGGCTCCCCCTTTCCCCCTTTCCTATCAAAACATTATCCCTTTTTGCCCTAGACTCCAAGCCTAGGGACTGTCCTTCCTTTTCCCTCTCCCTCCTCTGATGGGGGTGGTTGTAGACTGCAGTCAGGTCTCCCTTGCTGTCCTTCAGTGGGACCCACTCTTCTCTGTCCAGTGTATCTGTCCACTGCAGGATGGTGGCTCTGTCCCATGTCACCCAGGCCCTGCCCCTCGTCTCTTGTGCACAGCAGCTGGGTGTCTTTTTTTCCTTTCTTCTCCCCTGCCAGGGGTAGTGGTCCAAACCACACCAGGCCCTTCATGAGGGCCAGCCTGGCTCTGCAGCCTGGCTACACAACAGCTATAGCAATAAAGTCCTGACAAGGATCCTGTAGGCTCAAGGTCTGCCTGAGATGCCCCAGACCAGTCTCCAGTCTCTGTGCACACGGCCTATGGCCGGTCTGGGCTTTGGGACTCTAGGGGATGATGGGAACAGGTATTGTCCAACTTCATTCTGGATGATTGAAACCCAGAACTGGGATGGTTTGTTGTTTTGCCCTTTAAATGCTGTGTCCTCAGGCATGTCTCTATTCTACTCTGAGCCTCTGCATCCTCAGTTACCCATAAGGATAAGATCCATTTTCCAAGATTGCTGTGAAAATTACTGAACTTTTTATCATGGGAAATTTAAGTCAAGAAAATGGCCCAGGGGAGCTGGAGACTAGCTGCTCTCACAGAGGACCTGGGTTCAGTTCCCAGTACCGGCATGGTGGCTAACAACCATCTGTAACTCCAGTTCCAGGGAATCTGATGCCCTCTTCTGGCCTTTGCGGGCATTGCACACATGTGGGTCACCTCCATACATGAGTGCAAAACATTCATATACATAGAATACAAATAAAAAAAAAAATTTGTCTTTTTTGAGACATGGTCTCCCTGTAGCCCCAGCTGGCCTGGAACTCTCTAGGTAGATCAGGCTGGCCTTGAACTCACAGAGATCCACCTGCTTCTGTCTCCTGAGTGTTGGGATTAAAGGCGTGCGCCACCACACCCTGATCTACCTTATTATATATATATATATATATATATATATATCTTTTTGAAACAGGGTCTCCCTGTAGCCCCAGTTGGCCTGGAACTCACTATGTAGACTAGGCTGGCCTTGAACTGACAGAGATCCACCTGCCTCTGCCTCCCAAGTGCTGGGATTAAAGGTACAAAGAAATTTCTTTTTTGAGACAGGGTCTCCCTGGAGCCCCTGACACCACTGCTAAGATCCTTGTGCCTCAGGCCCACCTGTGTGAAGGTGCACCCCCACCCCTGCAGGTGCACCTGCCTGGCGGGACACGGTACAGGGACCTCCCCCAAACCTCAATGCTGGGGTGTGACAATCTCAGTCGCCCTCCTTGGCTCACAGGTGCGGGAGCTGACAGATGCTGAGTTCCCGCACTCATTCCTGGTGTCCGGGAAGCAGCGTACACTGGAGCTACAGGCCCGGTAGGCTATGACAGCTGGGGCAGAGGCGTGCGCGCGTGCGTGTGTGTGTGTGTGTGTGTGTGTGTGTGTGTGTTCTCAGCACTGTATTCTTTTTCCTTCTGAGCAGGTCCCAGGAGGAAATGGTTTCCTGGATGCAGGTATGGGGTGATCCAGGCCCCCAAGGGATTCTGAGCTTAGTCAACTTGGATAGGAGAGGGGAGGAGGGTGTGTACAGTGCATTGGTGCATGCATGTGTGTATGTGTGTATGTGTGCTGGAACACCTGGATGTGCCCTGCTACTCTTCCTGTGGAGTTTTAAGTCCTGGGTTCAAATCCTGCTGTGTCTCACTTCCTTGCTGGGTGGCCTGGAACAAATTGCATAAGCTCTCTGGTCCTCAGTTCTGAAAAGTGTAATCTGGGGCTAACAGCTTCTCTTTAAGTCAGGGCATGTGTGGTTAGAGTCTGGGCCCTGCAGGGTGTGTGTGTGTGTGTGTGTGTGTGTGTGTGTGTGTGTGTGTGTGTTTCATCAGTGTGTGCTGGATGTGGGTAGGATACATGAAAAAGAAGCCCTCCTTGCCTTCAGCCTCCTCATTTCCTTCCCCAACCCCTCCACCTCCACACAGGCCTGTCAGGCAGCCATTGACCAAGCAGAGAAACGAAATGAAACCTTCAAGGCTGCTGTCCAGGGGCCCGAGGGGGACACTCAGGAGCCCGAGGTAATTAAGGATCAGAAATTCAAGGTCATCCTTGGCTGCATAGTGAGTTCCTGGGGAAGCCTGGGGTACATAAGATCCAATCGCAGAAAACAAATGGGCTGGAGAGAAGGCTCTGTGTTTAAGAGCACTGGCTGCCCTTGCAGAGGACCAGGTTCAGTTCCCAGCACCCACATGGCAGCTAATAACCATCCACAACTCCAATGGACCGGACACCCTCATCTGATCTCTGCAAACACTACATACACATGGTGCATTTACAACATGCAGGCAAAACACTCGTACACATAAAAATAATAAAAATCAAACAAACATCCAAAAATAAAAATAATTCTGCCTTTGGAGCCTCCAGTCTAGTTATGTAGGGCCAGGGACTCCTCCCTCCATAGCTGAGGCCTAAGGATTGAATCCAAAACATCTGGGAAGCAAGAGTCCAGGGAAAAGTGGAAGATGGTAGGTCGGGGCGTAGGCAGAACTCAGCCTTACTCTCTGATCTGAGCTCTGAATGCTGGTTTGCTGGGTGTCTTTGCTGAGTCTCTTGACCTCTCTGGGTCTCACCTGTAGAGTAAGAATATTAGTAACTATCACACAAGCAGAGGCCACAGGGCCTCCAGGGGACACAAGATGCTTGGAAGTTGCAACCCCACTGGCTCCTGTTTTTCCCACAGCTTCAGTTTGAGGAGCTGGGCCTCCGGGCGCCACAGTGGGTCCGAGACAAGATGGTGACCATGTGTATGCGCTGCCAGGAGCCCTTCAATGCCCTGACAAGGCGGCGCCACCACTGCCGGGCCTGTGGCTATGTGAGTACACCATGGGGACTGAGGACAGGACTGAGGACAGGACTGGGGACGAATGCTCCTCTGCCCCACGTGATTTCTGCCTCCGATGCTGCACCTCAAGCCAGGTCCCTTCCTGGCCAATTTGCCAGCCTCAGCTGACACACTGGTTGTGTCCCCTGTGCCAGCAGTATCCTGCTGCATCTGGCCTTCACAGCACCCACCCGTGATGCAGGAGAACTGTTTCCTCACTTTGGAGCTCAGAAGTAGGCTCAAAGGGGTAAATTAACCTGCTGAAGCCTCCTTCTGTGACCCTCCCATTCACCTGTCCTTTGACCACCTTTTCTCAATGCTTCAGACCCAGAGCTGAGAAAGGGTCTTTGTCTGGAGATGGGACACCCACCCACCACCTTACCAACCCCATATGTACCCCACCCCTTGTTTCTCCCTCTTGTCTGTTGCGAATTCCACCTGCTTGGGCAGGCCTCAGTTTCCCCACTTAGTCATGAAATACAATCTCAGCATTCATGAGGTAGAGGCAGGAGGAGGAGTTCATGGCCAGCCTTAGCTACATATTGAGACCCTGTCTTAAAAACAACAGGCCATCAAGATGGCTCCATAGGCAAAGGCACATGCCACCAAACCTGACGACCTGAGTTCAATCCCTGGAGCCCATATGATGAAAGGAGAGAAGGGGCTACTACAAAGTTGTCCTCTGATCCTCATAGGAGTGGCCTTCGCACACACACACACACACACACACACACACAAATAAATAAATATTCAAAACAAAACAAAACAAAACAAAAAAAACAACCCTTGGGCTGGCGGGATAGTGCAGTTGTTAAAGGCTAAGGCTGGAAAAAAAAACCAATTACAGAAAACCAGATGAGGCAGCACACATCTGTAAGTCCAGCACTTGGGAGGTGGAAGCAGGAGGATCAGAAGTTCAAGGTCATCCTTGGCTACCTAGTGAGTTCCAAGTCAGCCTGGGGTACTTGAGAGTATCTCAAACAAATAAACAAGTTGGTGAAGGGAAAATAAAGTTATATGAAGCAATTTAAATTTCTCAATAAAAACAGAAAGCACTGGAGTGGTGACGGCCCTGGGCGGCCCCATCCTGACTCCAGGGCTCCCTCAGGCCCATGCACGTCCTATGCTTGGGAGCCAGTGAGTCACCCTTTCTGAGCTCCTCAACCAGTTTCTGTCTCCCCTGCCTCATGAGGCACCCTGTAAGGGCAGGGCACAGGGTGACTCCCTGAGAGCAGCCACACCCGATGGCTGATAAAGCTTGCTCCTCCCCAACTTCCCCAGGGCACCCCAGTCTTCCTCGAAGCACCCCCATCTTCCTACATCTTCCCAGAATACTCTTGGCATGTCTTCCTGCCTCTTCATTCCAGAGTAAAACAGAGTCAGACAAACTGTAGGATTTGTGGGGTGAGAGAGAGAGAGACAGAGAAAGACAGAGACAGAGAGAGTGTGTCTCCCCGAAGCCCCCAGCAGGCCTGGAACTCGCTGTGTAGACCAGGCTGACCTCGAACTCACAGAGATCCACCTGCCTCGGCCTTCGGAATGCTGGGATTAAAGGCGTGTGCTACTGGTGATTGCTGTTATGTTTACTGGTATATGTGGAGTGCCAGTGAAGGCTGGAAGAGGATGACAGAGTCACCATGTGAGTGCTGGGAGCTGAACCTGGGGCCTCTGGAAGAATAGCAAGTTTTCTTAACCTCTGAGCCACTGCTTTTGCCCCCAAACTGTAGGGTTTTAAAAAAAAAAAATCTGTTTTGTTCCTTTGAGACGGGGTCTCACACAGGCCAGGCTAACCGTGAACTTCTGATCCTCCTACCTACATCTCCCCAGTGCTGAGATCACGGGCATGTGTCACCATGCCTGGTTTATGTGGTACTTGGGGATGGAACCCAGGGCCTCATGCCTGCTAGGCAAGGGCTCTACCAACTGAGCCCTAAATAGTGAGACTTTACTGACATTTTTGTTTGTGCAATACCAAGGCTGCCAGTCAGCTGTGTGGCCTTTTCAAGTGTCCCCTCTGAGTCACTCTGTCCATCAGGGAGAAGACAAACCCTGCCTCTGTTCACTGCTGGGGACAGTGAGGTTCTGGATGCTAGGGTTTATCCTGTAACCCCCCCCCCCCCCAGGAACTAGCCACACAACAGGGAGAGTATGGAGGGAGCAAGTTAGGACTATGTGTCTGAGCTGGTTCTCGAACCCCTCACTCCTGTGCCTGTCGCCAAACTTTCTTTGCCCTCCTGCCCCCACTTGGGGCAGCGTTCTCTCTCTCAGGCGTTTCCCCTCTCTACCTGACCTCAGGTGGTGTGCGCAAAGTGCTCTGACTACCGAGCTGAGCTGAAATATGACCACAACAGGCCCAACCGCGTCTGCCTGGCCTGCTACACACTCCTTACTGGAAACGTGCTCCCTGATAGCAAGGAGGACAAGAGACGGGGCATCTTGGAGGTGAGGGCCCCTCAGACTCCCATCCATCACACCCTTCCCTTCCCAGAAGGTTCTGTTCTAGATACTGAAAAAAACAAGGCCAGCAGATCCCTCCTTCCCTCCATCTCCCTCCTCTACCCCACAGACTGTCCATCTCTCAAACACAACCACACAGGACCTGTCACCAGCCAGAAATAGCTATGAGTGGTAGGCTGTCACCCAGGCTCTTCCGCCCCTCTTCTGTGTCCCCATCTGCTAAAGAGCACAGCTTTGCTGGACAGTTCCTATTCATGTCAAGATGGCCCCTTCCCATGTGGAGATGGAATGTGTCAGTGACCCTAATTGACAGATGGGGACACCCAGTCTCCAGTCATGTGGACTGCAGGCTCTGTTCTAACTGGAAAGGGCCTCAGGGTCCTGCCCCATAGAGATCAAGATCACAGAAGTGATCCATTCTAGGTCACCAGCCTGCTATCTGTCTCATGATCTATGTGCTACCTTGAAGGCCTCACAATGCCACCCCTCTTCTGGGCTGTGTCTCAAGTGCAATATCAACAACCCAAACTTGCTATGCTACACTCCAATGAAGGCCAGAATGACCCTTCACTGTCCCTCTGAGAGGGCCTAGTCCAGCTGAGACCCACTCTTAGGGACAAACTGGCCCTTCGCACAGCCTTCAACCCCCACCCCCTCCAACCCATGTGTCCTTCCAGGCCCAGCCCCTCCCTGGTATGTGACACAGCCTTCTTCTGGAAAGTCTCATGCTTGCTAGGTCCCAACTGTTCCCTAAGCAGTTCATAGTGACAGTCCTTGCCCTGACACCTGTCCCCATCAACCCTGGCAGTCCTGCAACTCTGCCAGTGTGGACCAGGGCCACATGGTGAGGCATCTTGGATCCCAGGGACAACTAGTCACCCTTTGTAGTAACACAGTAGTGATTAAAGATAATAATTGTGGGGACTGGAGAGATGGCTCCACAGTTAAGAGCACTGGCTGCTCTTGCAGAGGACCTGGGTTCGATTCCCAGCACCCACATGGTGGCTATCAACCGTCTGTAACTCCAGTTCCAGGGGATCCAACTCCCTCTTCTGACCTCCACAGACATTGTACAACACAGATACACCTACCTACATGCAGGCAATACACTCATGCACATAATATAAAAATAATAGGGCCAGGCGTGGTGGCGCATGTCTGTAGGCAGAGGCAGGTGGATCTCTGTGAGTTCAAGGCCAGCCTGGTCTACATAGTGAGTTCCAGGACAGCTGGGACTACAGGGAGACCCTGCTTCAAAAAGAAAATAAATAAATAAATAAAAATAATAAATATTTTAAAAAGTAATAATTGTGGCAGGTATAATGACTCTTGCCTATAATCCAAGAATTGGAAGGTTGAAGCAGGAGGATCAGGAATTCAAGGTCATTCTCCTCTACAAAGCAAATTGGAAGTCAGCCTGGGCTATGTGAGGCTTATCTAAAAAAAAGGCGTAGTGGGGCATGCCTTTAATCCCAGCACTCAGGAGGCAGAGGCACGCAGCTAGGACTGCATAGTGAGACCCTGTCTCAAAAAAAAATATATATATATAGGGGCTAGAGAGATGGCTCAGTGGTCAAGCACACTGGTTACTCTTGCAGAGAACCTGGTTTTGGTTCCCAGCACCCAGGAATCTGATGCCATCTTTTGGCCTCTGTGTACATTGCACACATGTAGTGAACCTGCATACATGCAGGCAAAACACTCATACACATAAAATAAAATTAAATAGGGCTGGAGAGATGACTCAGTGGTTAAGAGCACTGGCTGGTCTTGCAGAGGACCTGGGTTCGGTTCCCAGGTTCCCAGCCCACATGGTGGCTAACAACTCCAGTTCCAGGGGAACTGACACCCTCTGCTGGCCTCCATGAGCACTGCATGACATGGACACACTTCCAGGCACATTAAATATAAATCAATTAATTGAGCTGGGCATGGTGATGCATGCCTTTAATCCCAGCACTTGGGAGGCAGAGGCAGGGGGATCTCTATGAGATCAAGGCCAGCTTGGTCTCCATAGCAAATCCAGGCCAGCTACAGGGAGACCCTGTCTCAAAAGAACCCCCCAAAAATAATTAATTACAATTAATAAAAATTTCAAAAGTTTTTAAGAGTGACTGAAGTCCCAGGCTGATGTCTGCTGACTGTCCTTTCTACTGCAGAAAGGGGCCTCTGTGGGGCCTGACCAGAGTCTGATATGCAGCTTCCTACAGCTCATCGGGGACAAGTGGGGTAGGTGTGGCCCCCGGGGCTGGTGTGTGATCCCCCAGGACGACCCTCTTGTGCTGTATGTCTACGCCGCCCCCCAGGTATGCCACCCCTGCCCCGTCCAGCCTTACCATTCCCACAGGGATGGGGAAGATGGAGCTTGGGGCATCATTTGCCCTATGAGCCAGATGGGGAAACTGAGACCCAGTGGGGATGTGGGACCCTCAAGTCATGGGTTAGTGGGTTCCAGACCTGGACCCAACCTGTAGCTCTCAGCTGCTTTGTCCTTGGAAGGCCCATCCTTCCCTCCTCTTCCTCCTTGATCATCCAGTGGCCCCCAGTTTCCAATGTGAGCAATGTGGGTGGCTGGGGATAGAGGGCAGAGGGCTGAAGTGGAGGACAGCAGCCCATCTCTCTCTCTCTCTCTCTCTCTCTCTCTCTCTCTCTCTCTCTCTCTCTCACAGGACATACGGGCTCACACCTCCATCCCCCTGCTGGGCTACCAGGTGACCTCAGGGCCCCAGGGAGACCCTCGAATATTCCAGCTGCAGCAGTCAGGCCAATTGTACACTTTCAAAGCCGAGTCTGAGGAGCTGCAGGGCCGCTGGGTGAGGGCTATCAAGCGTGCGGCCAGTGGCTGGACCCCCGAGGGACCTGGTGAAGGGGACATGTCTGACTGAGTCACAGCTGGCTCCTCCCTGAGCACCTCGCCTATGATAGCCAGCTTACTGCCAGAACCAGTCCCGATGCTCTGTCACCCCACCCCAAGCTGGCCTGATCCCTGATCCATTCTGTCATCTGTACCCAGATGGTGTGTCCTGACTCCAAATTCAGCAGATATGGATTGCTTCCTTTAAGAAGCAGCTAAATGACCCAGCTGGCCAGGGGTGAGGGGATCCCTGAGTCATAAGACATTCACTGTTAAAACTGGGAAGTCACTGGGTGTGGTGGTGCACGCCTTTAGTCCCAGCACTCAGAAGGCAGAGGCAGGCAGATCTCTGTGAGTTCAAGGCCAGCCTGGTCTACAAAGCAAGTGCCAGGCTAGCTGGAGCTACAGGGAGACCCTATCTCAAAAAGACCAAAAAACAAAACTGGGAAGTCTGGTCAGGGTTGTAGCTCAGTGGGAAGAATGCCTTCCTGGCATACACAAAAGCCTTCGGTTCAATCCCCAACACCACATAAACCAGGCTAGGTGAGCCTCTTCTGTAATCCCAGCGCTTGAGAGGTGGAGGCAGGAAAGTCAGAAGTTCAAGGTCATTCTTGGCTATGTAGTGAGTTCAAGGCCAGCCTGGGATACTTGAGACCCTGTGTCAACCCAGGACTGTTATCACCTGAGTGAGGGTCTCAGCCTGGGCCGTATGTTCATCACCTGGGGGAGCTTTGGGAAAGTTCTGGTGAAAAACAGATACTGATTACATTTAAAATTAAATGCATCTGTGTCCACTAGCAAAGCATTTTAAACATTATTATCTGCCTGGTTTGGGAAGGTGGGAGGGTCTAGAGAGTGCCCACAGGAGGGCAGTGTACAGCCTGGCCTACACCAGCTAAAGAAGAAACAGCAGTTAACTCAGGGCTGATGCGACCATGATCACACAGTAAGCGAGGGGCGTTTTAACTCCATAGTCTCAATCTTCACAAGTGGAGATCTCCATTTTCCATGGGCTCAGAGAGGTTTACTAATGCCCACAGGGTCACACAGCCAGAGGATATGAGAGCCAGGCTTCAGCCCAGTGGAATGAAGTCAGAACAAGGAGGGGAGGAGAGTGGGAGAGACAAAGGCGGGAGAAACGGGGGAGATGAGGGAGAATGGGGTGAAGTGTGTACCTCTGTCCCCTCTCTCTCCACTGGTGGAGGCTACTTTTTCATAAGAGGCCAGCAGGGGGTGGCAGTGGTCAACAGAGGTCCCTATAGGAAAGATGGTCCCAACTGTTTCCAACAGACCTGCTCTGCTTGGCTCTGCCTTAATGACTTAAAAACGGGTGCTTCTGGCCAGCAACAAGGCTCAGCAGGTGAGGGCGCTTGCCAAGTCTGATGACCTTGGTTCAATCTCTGGGACCCACATGGTGGAAGGAGAGAACTGACACAAGTTATCCTCTGATCTCTGCATGCACGCACACCATGGTATGTACACACACACACACCACACACACACACACACGCACTAAATAGCTGTAATAATTCTATAAAACCTGAAGTATTGAGTCACAGGAAGCCCTTCTTTGCAGGTAAACTGGAATCCAGACAAGAAGAAAAAGTAAGGGTCAGATGTAGCGGCACACATGCTCTATCCCAGTACTCGGGAGGTAGAGAGAGGAGGATCAGGAGTTCCAGGTCAGCCTTGGCTCTGTATCAAGTTTGAGGTCAGCCTGCGCTACAATAGATTGTCTCAACAATAGCTGTAATAATTCTATAAAACCTGAAGTATTGAGTCACAGGAAGCCCTTCTTTGCAGGTAAACTGGAATCCAGACAAGAAGAAAAAGTAAGGGTCAGATGTAGCGGCACACATGCTATAGCCCAGTACTCGGGAGGTAGAGACAGGAGGATCAGGAGTTCCAGGTCAGCCTTGGCCCTGTATCAAGTTTGAGGTCAGCCTGCGCTACAATAGACCTTGTCTCAACAAAACAAAGTAAAGGGGCTGGAAAGATGGCTTAGCTGTTAAAAGCACTGGCTGCTCTTGTAGAAGACCCTCATGATGGCTAACAGCAGTGTATAACTCCAGTTTCAGGGGATCTGATGCCCTCTTCTGGTCTCTCCAGGTATTGCATGCATGTAGTATACTTAGATAAGTGCAAGCAAAACACTCAGGCACATACAATTTTTTAAAAATTAGCTGGGTGTGGTGGTGCACGCCTTTAATCCCAGAGCTCAGGAGGCAGAGGCAGGCAGATCTCTGTGAGTTCAAGGCCAGTCTGGTCTACATAGTGAGTTCCAGGCCAGCTGGGGTTATAGGGAGACCCTGTCTCAAAAAGACCACCCCAAATTAAATTAAAGGCCAGGCATGTTAGCACACACTCTTTAGTTTCAGAACTCAGGAGGCAGGGGCAGAGTTCAGTTCCCAGCCCACATTGGGAAGCTTACAAACACCTGTAACTGTAGCTCGAGGGGACCCGACACCCTTTTCTGGCCTTTGTGGGCATCCACATACATGTGGCATACATTCACACACACACACACACACACACACACACACACTAAAGTCTAGGATCCTCATATGAGAGAAATATTTGTCTTTCTGGGTCCAGCTCACTTCACTTCACATAATGATTTCCGGCTCCATCCATTTTCCTGTAAATGTCTTGACTTCATTCTTTACAGCTGCATAAAATTCCACTGTGTCTACGCACCACATTTTCTTTACCATTCATCTGTTCATGGACATCTAGCCAGTTCCACTTCCTGGCTACTGTGAATACAGCAGCAATCAACATGGCAGTGTGAGCACCTCTGCGGGGTGCTGACCTGGGGTGCGCACCCGGGAGCGGACAACTGGGCACCTAGTGGGGTGCTGACCTGGGGTGTGCACCCGGGAGCGGACAACTGGGCACCTAGTGGGGTGCTGACCTGGGGTGTGCACCCGGGAGCGGACAACTGGGCACCTAGTGGGGTGCTGACCTGGGGTGTGCACTCGGGAGCGGACAACTGGGCGCCTAGTGGGGTGCTGACCTGGGGTGTGCACTCGGGAGCGGACAACTGGGCGCCTAGTGGGGTGCTGACCTGGGGTGTGCACCCGGGAGCGGACAACTGGGCATCTAGTGGGGTGCTGGCTCGGGACGTGCACTCGGGAGCGGACAACTGGGCGCCTAGTGGGGTGCTGGCTCGGGATGTGCACCCCGGAGCGGACAGCTGGATCGCCTAGTGGGGTGCTGGCTCGGGATGTGCACCCCGGAGCGGACAGCTGGGCACCTAGTGGGGTGCTGACCTGGGGTGTGCACCCGGGAGCGGACAACTGGGCACCTAGTGGGGTGCTGACCTGGGGTGTGCACTCGGGAGCGGACAACTGGGCGCCTAGTGGGGTGCTGACCTGGGCTGTGCACCCGGGAGCGGACAGCTGGGGCACCTCTGCGGGGTGCTAGTTCAGGGTGTGTACCCAGGAGTGGACAGCTGGGTACATGGTCCTTTGAGTTTTAGTTTTTTAGGAACCTCCACACTGATTTCCATGGTGATTGCAGCAGCTGACACTCCCACCAGCAGTGAATAAAGGATCCTTTTTCTCACATCCTGGCCACCAGCATCTCTCTCTCTCTCTCTCTCTCTCTCTCTCTCTCTCTCTAAATTTCTCAAATTATTATAATGTGAATACATGTTCATTTTTCTTTGCTTGGAAAAAAAATAAGCCTAATGAGTGAAACTATTTCAGCTTGTTACGCCAGAAGAAAATTGAACCTTTGGTGTGATTTCCGTCAGGGTTGGACTCTCCCACCCTCTGTCTGTCTGTCTGTCTGTCTCTGTCTCTGTCTCTGTCTCTCTCTCTCCCCCTCCCCCACCCCCTGTCTCTTTCAGTTTCATTTTGGTTTGTTTGTCTTTTTGAGACAGGGTCTTCCTGCAGCCCCAGCTGACCTGGAACCCACTATGTAGACCAGGCTGGCCTGGCACTCTCTACAAAGAGCCAGGCTGGCCTTAAACAAACAGAAATCCTCTATCTCCTGAGCGCTGGGATTAAAGGTGTACTCCACCATGGCCAGCTATTTTTTTTCTTTTTTAAAAAAAATACTTTATTATGGGGCTGGAGAGATGGCTTAGCAGTTAAGAACACTGGTTGTTCTTGCAGAAGACCCAGGTTCGAATCCCAGTACCCACATGGCAGCTAACAACTGTCCAAAACTCCAGTTCCAGGGGATCCAACAGCCTCTTGTCTTCCTTGGGCATTGCACGACATGGATGCACTTACCTACACACAGGCAAAAGACGAATACACATAAAATAAAAATAATAAAGGCTGGGCGTGGTGGTGCACGCCTTTAATCCCAGCACTTGGGAGGCAGAGGCAGAGGCAGGTAGATCTCTGTGAGTTCAGGGCCACCATGGTCTACATAGTGAGTTCCAGGATAGCTGGGGTTACAGGGAGACCCTGTCTCAAAAAGACAAAAAGTAAATAAATAAAAATTTAAAAAAACTCTTTTTTTTCATGTATGAGTGTTTTGCCTGCATATATGTAAGTGTACCTATATCATGCAATGCCCGTGGAGGTCAGAAGACGGCATTGGATCTCCTGAAACTGGAGTTATGTACAGATGGTTGTTAGCTGCCATAAGGTTCAAACCTGGGTTCTCTGCATGAGCAGCCAGTGCTCTTAACTGCTAAGCCATCACTCTAGCCTTTGTTTTTGTTTTTTTGAGACAGGCTGTCACTATGAAGCTGGCCTCTAACTTGGTATGTAGACCAGGCTGGCTTAGAATTCATGATCCTCTTGCCTCAGCCTCTCAAGTGCTGGGATCACAGGCAAGCGGCATCATGTCTGGTTGTCACTGCATCATTTTTACAGTTGTCCTCCAAAGTGGAAACTTGCCTAGACAGTCATCAAGGGAGACTCATTAATAAACATCCTTCTTGAAAGTAACTTGGTGGGTGAACACCTATGTGTTCTTTCGAGGGACAACCATGGAGCTATTTGACAAGGAGCTTCACGTGCAAGAGATGATGTAGCTCAGATCAGGGAATATGCCCAGGTGTACAAGTCTTGGGTTCCATCCCCAGCATGGAAGGAGGAGGAGGAGGAAGAGGAGAGGGGAGAGAAGAAAATAAAGCGAAATAATAGACAGAGAGAGAGAGAGAGAGAGAGAGAGAGAGAGAGAGAGAGAACAAGCAAAGTAAGAGAGAGAAAAAAATAATGGAACCAGGGGCCCCAGCAGCCTTGCCTCTTGCTTTGGCATGGAGCCAGGGCTACAATGCTTTTTATGAGCAATGAGCACAGAGGGCAGACTGTTTACACTTGCAGGGTCCCAGGCACAGTACCAAGGTCCTGGTGCACGTTCATTCTTCGAGCTATCCGGAACATACACT